CTTTCAGTTATTCTTTTGTTTTCAGCAGCAGAATATTTTCATCAGCACACTCTACAAATGGACTTCTCTTCCACCCTATGGGTCATGATTCCACCTGAGTCTACAGGGTGGATTTCAAGGAAACAGCTGTAGCTCAGTTCCACAAGTGACGCCTAGCCACCAGTAACTGTCACAGGCATTATGCATGTCCACAACACACTAGAACTTTGTGCGATATCCTATCCCCAGACTGTTAGAAGGCCAGAGTGTGCAGGTATGGCAAATGCCACTGTTACTAGCTCAGATAGAGGTTACATAAAAGTGTCACTGAATGTTTTTTCAACTGTTCTGTATGACTGAAACTTCAAATTCAACGGCCCGGGCTCCTCAGCCTCTCTTTGGGAAGGTTTTCCTTCATCTGCGAAAGTCGTCAGACACTGCCTCGCAGTGTACTATGGGACCAAATTCATACGTCGGAAGTTTAGTTCCTGTGTGGCAAGGCTCAGAAGCCGGATGTTCACAAGGTGATGGCATCAGGAGGCTTCTGCCCTCAGGGACGGCCATCAATACAGGAGATTACTGATCAAAGGGTAAGTTCAGCCCTCTCCTGCCCCAGGTCTCCCAGCCTCTCTTGCCCTTCTGTCCTTTGCCAAAGGATTAAACAGCAAGAACACTGCCCACAGGCCCAAACCTCCACTGGGAACTTCCCAGCCTCCAGAACTACAGGAGATAAATCTATACTCCTTATATGAATCCCTGAGTCTCAAGTATTCTGACATACCAGCCAAAACAGAGTTACTATAAAAACTCTGGGAAACATTCAAAAAAAAAAACAGCCCTTGCCTGGCACCTAGTCTATACCCGATCTACACCACAGCAGCAAGAGAGCAGAGCAGAATGAATGAAAAACTTAGCAAAGCACTCACACTTGGACTTGGCATTGCCCCCGGCCCAGCCTCCAGCCACGCAAAGAATCGCATCCACCTTCTCTTCACCCAGGAGTCTTCCAACCTCGGCGGTCACCTGGGACATGAGGAATAAAAAATGCATAAATGAAATAAAAAGGACATAGGCTGGCACCTGACAGGGGCCTTGGCTTCTTTTCCTGTTCTCTGAAGCCAGTTTACAGCATCTGTCAACTAACACAGGAAATTATTGCAAGGACTCACCTCCAAAGAGCATTTTGGGAGTGAAGCCCAACTGCATTTTGATGTGATTTTCATAAAGCAAATTAGAAGCTCCTTAAGAATACTGCAAAAAGAGGAAACCTAAGTACCTCCTGAAAAAAAAGTCAGTTAGGGAAGAAAGGTTTTTATAGTTACCTAGAACTGCATGACCCTCAGCTAACATTATAGTGCATTCCTTTCCAAACTTTCTTTGCAAATGAATCATAACCTGAGAAGACTGTGATGGTTGATACACTGTGTCAAACCAAGAAGTTTTGAAGCCTAAATAAGTAGCTCAGCCCATCCTGAGGTGTAGGGGACATGCCCTAGGGCAGCTGTTTAAGGTTCAGGATGTTGTAATGATTGATCTATTGTGTCAACTCCAGAAGTACAGAAGTTTAACTAAGTGACTCAGCAGCGGGCAGCCTTTCCACTTTGTAAACACCCTGAGCCTCCAGAAGAGGCCAAGGAGGTGAGGTGAAAGCTACCTCAGCCCCAGGGCAGGTAGCCTACCTGCACAGTGAGGGAAGAAGAGACTTGCTCCTCTTTGGGCTTCTGTTGCTTTTGCAAACTTCCCTCTCTGCCAGGCCACCCTGCTTTGGAGTCAGCTGATCATGGACTGAAACCTCTACTCACTGTGCACTAAGTAAGCCTTTCCTTCCTTAATTTGGGGTATCTGGTATTTTGTCCCAGCAAGGAGAGAAAACTAAGACAAGGATCAACTCCACCCCCAAATCCCTTGCTCTTTTCTGTCTCCCATCCCTTGCTATGAAGATGGCACCGCCCGGGCTGACCAAAGCCTAAATCTCCTCCAAAGCCAGACGTGAGGAGCTGGATCTCTTAGAGAGAAGCGAGACAAGAGGTGAGTGGAAGTGTCATCATTTTCCAGTTCGTTATTCTCCTTATTCCTATGTCCTATACACGATTTTCCTGAATGGCCTACAGATGTTATGCTCTAATGCCAAAAAGGCTAGGAGAATAAAGATAAATATGTGGATGCATAATATCAAGTTTTGTCAGCTGTCACACTGAGCATTTGAGGCAGATCCATCAAAACGCCATCAAAGGTCTTTCTCCAAGTAACATGTCCATTCCATGCTTTGCCAAGTGCCTGGTCTGCTTGCCAGTGTACCTGTTGCCCAGGCAACTACTGATTCAACACATCTGGATTTCAAACAACAAAATGATTTCTTAGCTATCTACTGTGCTCTCCAAGAGCAGCCCACTCAGGAATCATTAGTTATCGAGACAGGCTCATCACTCGCATTCTGACACAAGGCTTCCACGGCATCAGAATGGCCTGTGCACCAATATACGGGATGGGAGCAGGTTGCAGCACAGGACATCCTGGCTCTTCAGGTGTATTTCTGGGACCATCTTGGGCATGAACCAACTCCAGGCAGTCTTTGGAAAAGAAAGCCTTGAGCCGGCCATGCTGTTCATGCCTCCCTGCCTCCTCCCCAAGGAGACGCTGAAGACTCACACCAGCTGGCAAGGCTCAGGCACAGCTGGGGCTTGGGGTTGGCCAGCTGAGCTCAGGATGAGAATGGGCTTGTTAGCTTTGACAATCTGACACACACTGCTGAGAATGGGAGTTGCCTCTAGCTGGAAGAAGGTTTGCAGATCTCCTGCATCTGAGGAAACAGAGCTGTCCCGGATGCTGCGCCATGTGGGCCCTACTCTCCACCAGTGACCACTGGACAAGACACAGGGGCCCACAGAGCAGACAGGATGCCCTGCAATCATGTACCATAGCAGCGAGGGTCACACAGCCCTTGTCAGTGGAGTCTGTGCACACCACGGTATGCAGGAAGCAGAGCAGCAGGCACCACGGGCTTCCTAGTTGGTGCCCCTGTGGGAGCCACACAGTCCCCACACAGCTCTATAGCCCTTTCAGGAGGCAGTCCTCGTGGGTGTCACTGTGGCTCCCTCATACTTAGCTGCAGCTGGCAGCAACCTCTGTACTAAGTAAGCTCTTACTCTGGTGTTTCACTTGGGTCCTTCCTGTAAAGGGTTTTGCCCCAAGTAGGAATCAGTTCACCTAAGGTTTGTCAACTGCCATGTTCTTTACAGCTGTGTTCTTGCTGTCGCTGTTAAAGAATTTCCCGCTGCTCAGAACAGCACTATCTATCCTGGAGCATTTACATCCATGCATGTACTTATTTCCATTGTTTCTGATATCAAAAATGCGAAATTCTTTCCTCTTTACTGGCATGAGCAAACCACTCCTTTTTCTTTAAATTCCTAGGAATACTTTTTTTTTTTTAAATGTCTAATAAACGGGAACATTCTGAAGAAAAAGATAAAATGCAAGTAAGGCTTGACCCCTTCCCCAGTGCTTACAGCCTTCACCCCGTATTGTAATTCCTGTGCTGTTGGATGTCCCCAAAGGATCTTAAATTCTTCTCCACCTCTGCTGTATTTCACCAACCAAACTGCGACTGACATGGCTTTGGGGGGCTACCAGTCACCCCATGAGGTACGGACCACTGCCTAGTCCAGGGAGGCGATGAGGAATCCATTTGCATCAAGATAGCTGGATTAGCTCTTGTGTATACATCTGGGACTTGCCATTCTGTAACAACTTAATAACACTGTTTCTAAAACCAAATACAAACTTCCTAAAACCAGCTGAAGGGAAACAATAAATAAAAGAAAAGAAAATGGCAGTGGGCTGGGGAAATAGCTCAGCAGTCTAAGCATCTGCCTGGTAAGAGCAAGGACCTGAGTTCGATCCCCATGCCACGATGGCTCCAGGACCCTGGGCACAACACTGTGCAGGCCCTGAACCCAGGCATGGTGGTGCACACCATATAATCCCAGAGCTGGGGAAGCCGAGACAGGAGGATCACTACAAGTCCAAACTGCGTAATGAGTCTATGTATCAAATAAATAAATAAACAAATAAAACTGCATTAAATGAAACTCAAAAGAAGATGCAAGAGAAAGATTGTAAGAAAATAAGGCAGTAAATGGCAAAATGTTGGTAAAGAATCTAATACGATTCATTTTATTTTATTTTATTTTATTTTATTTTATTTTATTTTATTTTTTGGCAGAACCGGGGATTGAACTCAGACCCTTGCACTCACCAGGGAAGTGCTTATTCTAATGAGCCATCTCCCTAGCCCCAGGAGGGTTTATTTTAATGATCTCTCTACTGCCTGAAATTGCAAAGTATTGGAAGTACAGTTATATCTCTCTTATCGTAATTTACTAGAAGAACGTCTGGCAGGAAGGACCAGCGCCTATGACTGTCTCTCCAGAATGCCCTGGGAACTCCTCCATAGCTCCTTAAGACTCCGGGGCCAGTGAGAACCAGTCTCCCTTCTCCCACACACCGCACCCTTTTAAGGCGAGTCCCTATCTCCCTTGGTTTCCATCCAGCGCTGATGTCTCCTTTGCTGACCTTCCTCCTACAGCCCCAAGGTGCCCTTCTCTCTGAGGCCACGTCCTGCTGTCAGAGGCCAGATGCCTGCTGCCGTCCGGGCTGTGCACGGAACCCATGCTTGACCCAGTATTTCTACTTGGTAGGGACGCACGGAGCCAGCAGCAGCTCTGCATCTATTTGACTTTTTCTTTTCACATCTGTTTAACTCTTACAATAAAATTTACATAAGGCTACTTTAAGTTCCTTTCTCTTAAATTTTGCTTTCTGACCAATCATCTTCTAGAGATTTAATACCTTTTGTACTTTTTATCTCCTGTCCTTAGTTGAACTGCCTCCTCAGGGGGCCCATTTTACAGGTTTCAGGATGAAGTTTCATCTTGTGGAGCTTTAAAGCCCAACACTGAGTATATCATGATGTCTTTCTAGAAATTCATCACTGGGACAGAGTAGTGGGAGGGAGAAAGAGACTTTTAAAACTAAATTTATAATAACTGAGACAACTCACTCTTGTAGTGCATGCCACACCCACTCACATGGCCATCGGAGCCTGCAGTTAACAGGAGACACCACACTGACTGTAGAGACCCACATCCAGAAGGGCTGCACCCAGACTCTGCCCTTCTGTTTAGTTGTAGCTGTCACTACCATGTTCCCACAACAGCATTTCCTTTGCGGCAACTCAGTGTAGCAGTTAAGAGTTCAGCCATCAAATGTTCAAATCCTAGCTATAGTACCTCCTACCTGCGTGATCTTGGGCAAACACCAGGGTCATTCTGTGTCTCAGTCCCTTTAATATTAAAAGGAAATGAATATTACAAAGTTTGCTTTGAGGATGTCACACAGACTAAATGAATTAATCTAAAGAAAGCACTTAGACTGGTGCTCAGCAGCTAAGGAGGCCATATCAACTTTACCGTTAAACTCGTTACGGCCAACCGTATCAATTAAATCTAGCAAACATTAGGAACATATTAAGGAGAGTAAGAAAAAGAACACAATCAGCCATCCAAGCCTGTGTGCTGCACACCAAGAACTCAACCAACCTTCCATCAGAACACTTGGGGAAAAAACTGCTTTTGTACTAAACATTTAGATGTTTTCCTTGTCGTTACTCTCTAAACAATAGTTTTTTCCAAATTTCCCTCCATGAGAGCAGATGACCTTCATAATCACAGAAATAACAACTGGAAAATGAAAAGCAGGTTTCACCCACGGACAGCCCTCCCCAGGCTCCCCTGCTGCAGTGGTCGGAGGGCCTTTCTGCAATCACCTGGTCAGCTTGCTCAGTAAAGGAGTCTGTCATCTTAACAACAACGCTGGCGCTGGCCTCCTCATTCTCCACCACGTCGATGCTGGCAACCCACTGCAATGAAAGACAGTGTCATTTGGGTCCAGACACAGTAAGACGCTAACCCTTAAGACAGCCACAACCCGGCCCGGTGTGGTGGCACACACATGTAACCTCAGGCTGAGGCTGGAGGATCATTGCGAGTTCAAGACCAGCCTGAGCTACAGGGTGAGCTCAAGGCCAGCCTGAGCTTCAGAGCAACATCCAATCTCAAAAAAGCAAAAAAACAAAAAAGGCACATCCAAAACTTGAGGGGCAGGGGTAATACAAGTCAGGGACTCAAAACTGGAGTATTCTTTACCCAAAAAAACCTTGGGATCAGAAGTGCAGATTCTGCTTTTTGTTTTCTTTCTGTTTTAGAATATTTGAGTCAAATGAGATGTTTTGGGAATGAGACCCAAATCTAAGCTAGAAATTCACTTGCTTCATCTATGACGGTCTATGGCCTAAAGGCAATGTTAGACACCATTTTAATAAGATTATTTTTTTTTGTGCATGCAACAAACGTTCCTGGTGTGACATCTCCCAGCTGAGAGAGCAAGGGAACTGCCAGAAAGTTTTGGATTGGAGAACACTTTGGAGTTTGGGTTTAGGGATGCTCCACAAGCAAATGAAAACTCAGCAGAGAAAGAAGTGGCAATGGATCCCTCCCTCTCCTTTCAGGCACCCCTCTCTGGGGCCTACCTGCACCTCTTCCCAGCCCATCCCACCTCCAAACACCACCCTTCCTCCTCTCAAGGACAAACTGCACCTCCAGAGACATCAGGAGTCAGCAAATCTCCAGAAAAAGTCAAGAATAATTACTTAAGGCTTTGCTGGCCCTAAGGGCAAGCACTCAACCCTGCTACCACAGCAGGAGAGTAGGGGTACAGACCACAGGGACAAGAAGAAGCTGCAATCCAGTAAATCTTCGGATGACAAAAGAAGAATTTCCTGAAATTTCCATGTCACAAAGTATTATTATTATAAGGCTCAGAGTGAACCTCAGCAGTAGAACCTTGCCAAACATGGTCAATGTTCTGAGTTAGATCACCAGTACCAGAAAACACATACACACAAACAAGTGCACGCAGGGGCACACACACACACACAACTTCTGAAACATTAAATGTAAATCCCAGCTGGCTATGGTGGCTCATGCTTGTAATCCCAGCACTCTGAGAGGCTGAGGCAGGAAGACTAACTGTTCAAGTCTAGCCTAGACAAATTAGGGACTTAGCAAGACCCTGTCTGAAAATTTAAAACATAAAACGATGTAGCTCAGCACAAAGACTGGGACCAATCGCCAGAATCACAAAAATAAAAAATAATTTTGGAATCACCTGCTTAGTTCTTGGGCTTTACAGATGGCTGACCAATTCCACAAGGGAAGACCAGCATTTAGAGGACTCCTGCCCTGTAACATGGAGGGATGAGCTTTGGGTTGGGGAATAGGAGAGCTCCGGGTTTGAATGCTAGGGTCTACCAGATCAGGGCTTTGTCCTCCACGAGCTCCCCACCAGGTCTGTACCCAGGAACAAAAGGTTGTTAATGTTTAACAGGGTCAGCATAAGAATTCAGTGAAATGGAGGCTGCTGTCTCCTGCACAGGTCCTCACCCAGAAAGCCTCAGCGCCTTCCACCTGCAGGTCCCACGGGCAACACCGCCTCCTCAACCTGTGGTCCTATCACTCAACAACTCCCATTTCTTGGACACAGGGAGCCACGGGGAATGCCAAGACCAAAAGGTCTCCACCCAGCACTCCATCGGTGCCAAGAAGGAAAGGGGAAGGGGGACAAAGAGCTAGAGGTAAATCTGATTGCCAGGCTCTCCCCATGGCAACGGTAAATGGAGGTGCCCCACCAGGATGAAGCACAACCTTTGCATCTGTAAGCGCGGAAACTAACATAACAGGATACGTGTTACTATGGTCCTAAACAAGATTAAATAAAATTAGGAGTCTGTGGAGCTCGGATGCACACCGCTCCTGCAAGGCTGTGGCCCCCATCCACCCCTGGAGACCTGGGAAACCCTCACTACTTCTGAGCAGGCTGGTGAGAGGAAGGATGGTGTGTTTGGCATCCTCTAGAAGCACATTCCTGTACCAGATTCTAAGCAAGAATAAAACCCTGGGGCCCTCTTTCTGGCCCCTTACCCAGGCTACCACGGCAGCCCAAAGTTCCCAGGAAGGTGCCAAGGACTCCAGGACGAGGACTTTGAGCGAATGACAGCTAGGGCTGGGGTCAAGAGTCCCGGGCTTCCCATCAGACCTGCCCTTATGGGCTGCCCTTTGAGTGGGCACCTGACTATGCGAAGCAGATGAAAAATTCTTTGCAAAGAACCTGCAAGCAGCCACAGGGCTGGGCCTTCCAACTGAGAGGTCCAGCAGGGCCAAAGAAAGGACCTCAACAGCAACATCAGCAGCTAGCACTGGAGCGGGTTTGCCGCGTGTGATGAACGCGCCTCCAACGACACCGACTACCTCATTTAAATCCTACTTTACTTTGGGGGAAAGCGATGTTGGAGGGCTCTAAGAAATCCATTTATGGGGCTACTAGGCCGGAACAGGCAGCCTTATTCTTGAGGAGTCCTAGTTCTCTCCTCCCATCCTGTCGCCCCGTTCCTCTTCCTCCCACTCTGGGATTCGCCCCAGCGTGCAGCCCAACTTTCCCGGCCTGAAGTAGGCCGCCACCCGGCGAGACCGTGCACGCACGCGCAGGCCCCCACGCCCTCCAGCTCGCCCCCGCGGCTGCTGGCCGCAGTCCCCACGCCTGACTCTCCAGGCGGCGACCCCGCGGCCCCGCTGCGTACCCAGTTGCGGGCCCGGAAGGCCTGCACGCATCGCGAGCCCAGCGCGCCCCTGCCGCCGTACACCAGCACCCGGCGCGCCTCGCCCGCCGCCGCCGTCGCCGCCATGCTGCTGCCCGTCCCACCCGCCGCGCCTGCAGACCCAGCTGCGCTCAGCCCGCCCCGCCCCCGGCGCACGGACCAATCAGGGCTGCGCACCCTGCTCGCGGGGCGGGGCGGGGCGGGGCCGAGGGAGGAGAGCGCGCGTGCGCAGTGCTGCGTAGTCCTTTAGCTCCTGCGCCTGCAGGACTGGTTACCTGGTGTACTTTTTTCCTGTAAGGATGAAGACGTTCCTGGAACCAGTGTTTACTAGCTGTGTGCCCTAAGCAACTTCCCTAACTGCACCAGGCCTGTTTCCTCGCTAGAAAGATGGGACTAGCGTATAACCCTAGGCTTTTCGGACAGCGAGGGCACTGAGACGGTTGGATGCCTAAGTGATGGCAACTCGATCGATCCTGGGCAATCACCATTAATATTAGTGTTCTTATCACTTCTCCATGTCAGAATTCACCACACTTCTTAGAGATTTAGAGTTACAGGCCTCTTTCATTTACCCGGTGGGGCAGAGTTAGATTTGGGGGGACATAGTTTAAAATAAAAAAATTGCCACAATAATACAAAATTGGTCATGCACTGCTATATATTTTAAATGTTTATATTAAATAAATTAATGTCCTTAAAACAAATTCCACCATGGAGAATTATTACGACTCCTAAAACGTATTAAGACGTAAGACACCACTAGCTTTGGCCTGGTAGGCACTCAGGTTTAGCCTTGCTGTGGTTGGACTTTTGTGCCCTCCTGACAGGTAAGCCCTCACTTGCCAAGAATAGCCAAGATCCACTTCTGAGACCAAACCAGATGACGCTGCCCATTCCCAGCCACAGGTCCTAACATAGGGTTGCTCAACTGCAGCACTACTGACCCTTGCTGACCAGGCAGTTGTGACAGGGACTGTCCTGCACATGGTAGGATATTTACAGCATTCCTGGCCTCTACCCACAAGGTGCCAGTAGCAGGCCTCTCCCCCCCCCCAATATCACAAACAACCAAAAATATCTGAAAATATTGCCAAATTCCCCTGAGGGACAAAAATCACCTTTGTCTGAGAATCAGCGTGCTGACACTTGCATAACCTTATTGCCAACAGGACCCTGTCCTAAACATCATTGTGCACCTCCCACCCACACGGTGCCTCCTACTGAGCTATAGGTAACACTTGGGCCACATAAGACATATGTCTTTAGCCAGCAGGACACAGCCTGCGGCACCTTTATTAGACCTGCTAGAAAAGATAGAGCTTCACTTTTGTTTTTTTCTTAGATTTTGAAACCGTTAGTATATTTTATTTAATGCTTTATAATTTTAATTTTTAAAACTTTTATTAGTTCATAATGTACTGTGTGCAGTCCATAAAGATTAGTTTCATGGTGGGGAATTGGAGCATGCACATAAACTATCTCGTTTCACTTCCCCTCCACCTCCATTTTTATTGTTTTCATTTTTGCCCAGCTTTATGTCTTTATTAAGTGAATTATCATAAACACAGATTAACAGCTACACTAACAGGCCAACAAATATATCAAAACATAAAATAATTATGCTTAATGAAGGCACACTTTTAGATATAGTTGCCATGCTGGATTACAGTAATGCTTTTCTCTCAGATCTTCACTTTTAGAAGAGATGAACATCCCAGCAGTGTTACCCCTACCCACTAGCACGCTTTTCTGGTTCATTTCAGATGACACGGAAGGGGTTGGAAGCTCCATTATCAGAAGTGGAATTGCCAGCAGACTGGATTTATTCAGTGCCCTCCACATGCCTAGCCCTGTGCTAAGCAAACTCTGTGCGCTCATTCACTTTCCTACAGACAAACATCCATGATGAACTAGAGAGCTAAGGCATGGAGCTAAGTGTGGTGTCACGTGCCCGCAATCCGAGCACTCTGTGAGGCTGAGGCAGGAGGCGTTTGGGCCCAGGCTGAGCAATGTAATGACTTAGCAAGACCCTGTCTCAAAAA